CATTTAGTTCCTCGACGGCGACTACGTAGACATTCATTTCCTCGACGGCAACCACGTAGATATTCACTTCCTTGATGGCGAAGACCTAGATGATACATAGACACTTAGTTCCTCGACGGCAAATACGTAGACCCTCACTTTCTCGACAGCGAAGGCCTAGACGATTCCTAGACATTCACTTCCTCGGCCGCGGAGATCTAGATGACACTTAGACATTTAGTTCCTCGACGACAAACACGTAGACACTTACTTCCTCGACGACGACCACAAGAGAGTTGTGAGAGAGACGAGAGAGTAGAGAAACAGACGAGAAAGTCGTGAGTCGTGAGAGAAACAAGAAAGCCAGAAGAGAGACAAGATTGAAATTTTGCGAAGAAGAAGACGACGACGACGATATAGCAGACCAAAGAGACCATACAACATTGAAATTTTATGAAAATTTAGCGAAGAAAAAGACGGTGACAACAAAGGCAGCAAAATTATAAATTATAGATGAAAGGGGATAAGATTGAAAATTTTACAAAGAAGAAGACAACGACGACGACGTATCTGAATGACATAAAATCGGACAAAAAAATGCATACACTTTATGCACATTATGCATCAAATGCACTTATAGACATCGCTATTATAGCACTGTGATTGGAAAAATATAGATTAAAAAAAAAGGCATTTACCGATAATATCCATATAATTAAAAGAAATAATAATTTATTCTTACAGAAACGTTATCCGTTCGGAAAAGAATACACTGTAGCGTCTCTATCAGTACAAAAACATCTCCTGATCGTCATGTAGCGAAAAAATATACTTGGCGGGAGCCGCTACTGCGTCTCTTGATCTATCAGCAGTATCACCTGACCTTGTCTCTGTAGCTCTTTTTTTCATTTTGTTTGAGAGAAAGAAATAAATGTACCTACATAGTTCTCCAGTTAGGTATTAATTGTTTATTATTTTGAGATGTAGAAATTTGTAATACAAATCTTAATAAAAATATAGCTAGTTTTCTGTCATTAAAGACAGATTCGAAAATTCGTATCTCGCGTTTTTTTTTACCATTCCATGATTATCACTCTAAGAATTCAAAGGTTATCATTCTAAGAAAACATTGCTATACTTTCTGGTGTAGTTTTCCTTAAATATTTTTGCTTTACATAACGTGATTAAATCTAAAATAAACCATTAAAAAAGTTTTTCCTCCGATACGATCCGTTTAATTGTCATCTGAGGATGAGATCACATGATTGCGATTTTCCAACGAACGATCTCACAACGAGCGAGAAGCGACCTTCGTGCGAGCGGAAAGAACAAAGCGCTAATGTAAAGTAGAAGTAATAAAATTTTTTGTATTTTTACCCACTGAAGATGGCTCA